TTACTCATAGGGAAAAAAATAAATACGAGCAATATTTATCTGCAGTCTCAAGTATAAATTCGGCCAGTGTTCATCTCCACACGCAAGTAAAAACTTTGTCAGTTTTTACCTATAGACTCAAGTATAAACCGTACAATGTTTTCTTATAGGTTCAGGTATAAACTGAACAATGTTTTCCTATAGACTCAAGTATAAACCGAACAATGTTTGCCTATAGACTCAGGTATAAACCGAACAACGTTTTCCTATCGTCTCAGGTATAAATCGAACAATGTTTTCGTATAGGCTCAAGTATAAACCGAACAATGTTTTCCTATAGTCTCACATATAAACCGCAAAAATACTAGCCTATAGACTCGAGTATAAACAGAACAATGTTTGCCTATAGACTCAGGTATAAACCGAACAACGCTTTCCTATAGACTCAGGTATAAACCGAACAACGTTTTCCTATAGACTCAGGTATAAACCGAACAATGTTTGCGTATAGGCTCAAGTATAAACCGAATAATGTTTTCCTATAGACTCACATATAAACCGCAAAATGCTAGCCTATAGACTCAAGTATAAACAGAACAATGTTTGCCTATAGACTCAGGTATAAACCGAACAATGTTTGCCTATAGTATAAACTCAAACAACGTTTTCCAATTATCTCATTTACAAACTCAAGCAAGATTTACCTATAGAAGTATATACCAATCAATATTTGCCTGTCGTCTCAAGTATATACTTGGCCAACGCTTGCCAATAAGATCTATTATAAACTTAACCAATGTCTACCTATAGACTCAAGTATAATGAAATCAGATTTCGAAATTAAATAATGTTTCAAGGGTTTTGATATATTATAAAAATTTACTAAACCAAATCTGTTTGTACACGAACATATCATGTACAGTATTTAGGTCGTTCGAACTGTTTTCCTCATCTTTATTGCTATACTCACGACGTTTCGACCGTCGTACGCTCCAGCTTTCTTCAGGTAATATACTTTGGAAGATCAGAACAATGTAAATGCTGTAGTTACAATACCTCATCTCAGAAATATAGACAAACTTGATATTTGTTTTTCTATTCTGAACTGTGTTAATCATTGCATTGATGTAAACGGCTGTGAAGTTAAAAGGCTGTAATTTTAAAAGATGCCGTTTCTCGATTCAGATGTCCTTTACATATGTATGTCCATTATTTCCATGCACCGTTTAAATTCCTGATGAATGTGATTTATTTACTGCCCCCCCAATTATCTTTTTCTTGTTGTCATTATTGCTGTTATTATTTGTGCTGCTGAAAGTTACAGTGATTCTGTCCCATCCTTGCTTGATCAATTGCGTTTAATAATCGTTACGGCACACCAAGCGATAACGCATATAAATTTCATGATGTGTGAACATTGAACAGACCCTTTTACAGCGTGAAGTCGTCTCGATCCGCGCCCAGGGGCGTCTCGACATTCTCGTTTTCGTGTCTTTGTATGTGGCAATTCCCTGGGGCGGAGAAAGCATTACGCCTTGAATATTAAAAGATACTTGATTTGTTTTTTTTTTTTTTTAAATGCGGTTTCGGTCGTATAATTGAAGAAAAAAAAAAAAACTTCTAAATGATTCCGTTTAACTGAACAAACCAACAATATTCAAGTTTAAAAAAAAAGAAAAAAAGAAAAAAAAGAAAAAAAAGAAAAGAAAGAAAAAAAGAAAAGAAAAAAAAAAAAAAACAGAAAAAATAGAAAAAAAAAAAAAAAAAAAAAAAAAAAAAAAAAATAGAAAAAAGAAAAAAAAGAAAAAAAAAAAAAAGAAAGAAGAAAAGAAAAGAAAGAAAAGAAAAAGAAAAAAGAGAAAAAAAGAGAAAAAAAGAAGAAAAAAAACAAAAAAGAAAAAATAGAAAAAAGGAAAAAAAAGAAAAAAAAGAAAAAAAAAAAAAAAGAAATAAAAGAAAAAAAGAAAATAAAGAAAGAAAAGAAAGAAAAGAAAGAAAAGAAAAAAAAGCAGAAAAAAACAGAAAAAAAGAAAAAAAAAAAAAAAAAAAGAAAAAGAAAAAATAGAAAAAAAAGAAAAAAAGATAAAAAAGAAAAAAGAAAAAAAGAAAAAAAAAGAAAAAAAAGTAAAAAAGCGTCGAATTGTTTTTATTTTTTTTATTCCCGCCTCCTAGCTTCAATCATTTTCCCCACTTTTTAAAATTATTTCACCCTAAGCAAAGCGGGCATGCCACTAGTTCCATTGGTGGTGGTGGTTTTTTACAGAGAGTGAAAATGAGAGAAAATACTGGATATAGAGGGGGATTGAGGAAAGGACAAAAGATGAACGGCTTTCAAAAAGACAGACGATAACAACTGACGTTGCATTTAAATTTTTTGGAGATTTCAGTTATCAGAAAAGCAACTAAACGGAAGAGACTTCCACAGGCGGGAAGTGTGAGAACAAAAAAAACTGTTGGAGTAGAAATGACGGTTACATTTAACTAATTCAACAGTAAAATGGTGTAATCTAGATACTAATCCAGTAGCACGCTTAAATTCATGTCCTCAGGGTACCAGGGGAAAAAAAAACTCGTCAGACCAACTGTCATAAAATTATTTCTAGAAAAGACAGAGGGAAGCCACGTCAAGTCGTTGAGAATGTGACAGAAGTCGAGATGCCATGTCAGGATCGATGACATTGCAAATTTTCTTTGGATTTTGTCAAGAACCTTGAGATAAATAACAGGAGCACCAGACCAGATTATGGCAACAGTATTCAATGCACGGGCGACTGGTTCTTGACCAACAATTCTACAAACTCCCTTGAAGTTGATTCGGAACAGTTCAAGACTTTGCGTGAACAAACTGACAAACTGGAATATAGATGTAACCTCTGTCCAATGTTGATGGTAAAAATAATAATGATGTTGAAAAGGAAAATCTCACACGATTAATGTTGTACTGAGTAAAATTAGTTTGCAGATTCAGATGCACAGTTACCTCCCTTATGTATAAGGGAGATAACTGTGTAAGTTTGCTATGACTATTGCTGTCACACCTGAACTGGGGACTCTATTATGATCTTCTGGGTATGACCATAAACTACGTCCAAAGGCAAGGCCTCTGATCAGGAAGTTTTGAGGAGCGTGGAAGCATTTCTTAATTGCTGTTGTTCCCAGGTCCGCCCTGTCCCGGGATGGGAGCACCTGTTAGGGTCCCAATTATAGGTAAATAGTGCCCCCCCCCACCAGAGACTGGGATCAAAACACTATGAACTGGTTCTTTTACTATTTAGAGATTTTTGACAAAACCCAGACGACAATGTTATCAGTCCTTAACTGGCATTTCAGTCTCAGGGATTTTCATTTTAACTGATCTCCCTGTAACTTTTCTATAAATATTTCCATGGTACCGGGGAACTTTCCTCGATGGTATCTAGACTTCCTAAGATTAACCGCAGTACTAGATTGGCAAGTTGGTCTCACCAGTTTACAGGGGAAAGAGCTAGATGTAACCGTTATTTCTATGCTAACAATTCCTTCTCTCACACGCCCCGCTGGTGGTTCTTCACTTCCGGTTTTTTGATTTCCGGTCAACTTTGATCTTCTAAAATTTAAATGCAATGTCAGTCGTTATCTTCAGTCTCCTTGATTCCTGTTCTTTTATTGTTCTCGATTCTTAATGATGTTTTTTTTTTTCTCATATTCTATCTAAACTAAGTAAACCGTTGCGTCTTTGTGGCTTTGTTAAGCGATTAAAAAATATTAAATCGCCGGAATGTTTATGAATTTAAGCACAGGACTACATTAGCAATTAGTTTAGTTTAGACCCCCCCTCTCTTGCGACAATGTTTCTCATGTCAATGTTGATGTCGTTAAACACAATTCTGGTAGATTAAAATAATATAAAGGACTTTATAATTATAACTCCTTTATTGTATTCTGACGAGCTTCTTTTGCAAATCCTTCATTTTTCTTTCTGGCATTTTTTTTATCAATGCTTCATTTTTGTATTTCCCCCTACATTTGCAACTCCATTTTGTCTTTAACCTTTCTTTTGTAACTCTTTCATTTTGTTTTTCACCTTTCTTTTATAAATCCTTCATTTTTTCCTTCACACTTTTCTTGTAACTCCTTCAGTTTGTTTTTCACCTTTCTTTTATAAATCCTTCATTTTTTCCTTCACACTTTTCTTGTAACTCCTTCAGTTTGTTTTTCATCCTTCTTTTGTAAATCCTTCATTTTTCCTTCACACTTCTCTTTTAACTCCTTCATTTTGTTTTTCATCCTTCTTTTGTAAATCCTTCATTTTTTCCTTCACACTTCTCTTGTAACTCCTTCATTTTGTTTTTCATCCTTCTTTTGTAAATCCTTCATTTTTTCTTTCACACTTCTCTTGTAACTCTTTCATTTTGTTTTTCATCCTTCTTTTATAAATCCTTCATTTTTTCCTTCACACTTCTCTTGTAACTCCTTCAGTTTGTTTTTCATCCTTCTTTTTTAAATCCTTCACTTTTTCCTTCACCCTTCTTTTCTAACGCCGCCTTTTTTTTTTGTAAGTCCTTTAATTTTTCTTCTTCATTGTTTTGTCCCTTCTTCATTAATTCTTTCATCGTTGTTTTTTATACTTCTTTTGTCTCTTTCATCTATCTATCTATCTATCTATCTATCTATCTATCTATCTATCTATCTATCTATCTTTTTTAATAGACTACCATTTGCTAAAATGCCCCGCCCTGTCTGCCTGCTTCCCCTCGAGATGCTCAAAGCATCTTCATAAAGCTTACTGAAAATACTACGCGTCAACACAAAAAAAATAAATGCGCAATAATTTCTTGGCCTGGTTCTGTTTTGAAGTGAGTGAAAAGGAAAAGGAGCGAAAAGAAAACAAACAAAACACACAACTCAAATATATATATATATATATATATATATATATATATATATAGACGGGAAGAACTAGCGATAAATTTAAATAGAGAGAAAGACTTACATTAATACAGAGAGCGACAGAGTATGAAGAAGGAAGGAAAAGAGAAGGTTCACAGGACAAAATAAACTAACAGAGAGAGGGTGGAGTGGAAATATAGCGACAGGTTGGCGAGGAGAATGGGAAAGAAAGAAAGAAAGAAAGAAAGAAAGAAAGAAAGAAAGAAAGAAAGAAAAAAGAAAGAAAGAAAGAAGTTAGAAACAGCGAGAAAGCGAGCGACTGAGAGAATTGTGTTGGAGGTGAGTAAGAGATGAAGCAACGGTAGAAAGATAAAAACAAGAAGATTAGGGAGAAAAAAATGAGAAAAGAGAGAAAGGTTTAGAAGATAGAGAGAGGGGAAGAGAGAGAAAGCGAGAGTAAGACAGGAAGGGAAAATGAAAGAGAGAAAAAGACAGACAGCGAGCGAGCGAGCGAGAGTTAGTATGTACGTGTGTGAGAGAGAGAGAGAGAGAGAGAGAGAGGGATAGAGGGAAATCTGTACAAAAAATATGGAAGAGAAATATTGGATATATATATATATATATATATATATATATATATATATATATATATATATATATATATATATATATTATTTATTTATTCTGTTTATACGTTATTTTCAAAGATACACTTTACTTAAATGTTTTTCGGGAAAGATCACCGAAGATTTGTTGTTTAAAAACTGAGGACTTTGCTCACCAGACGTTTATCTATAACTAAATGGTATATCACGTGAGCTCAAATAATGATTCCATGTTGGATTCCAGTTTGAAAAAAGCATATTTTCTAAGAAATTTCTCGAATATTCAGGCCGGTAAATGTAATTAATACTGTTTAATTAAAAAACAATTTATTTACCTACGCAAATTGTATCTATAAAAATAACTTATAAACAGAAAATATATTAAATAACTGTCGATCTTAATCCACAACAATATTATATATATATATATATATATATATATATATATATTGAACAATAAAAAAATATAAAAAAAATTAAAATCTTCACACACACTGGGTTGTAGATTAATATTCTTTTTTTTTTTATTACTTCATTTAGATTTCTCGACTAGTTTCGGCCAAAATGGCCATCATCAGGAGAAGAAATATTTCTGCTTGCTGGTAGCAGTAAACTACAGAGAAAACAAATATATATATATATATATATGGTAAATATTAAATATAATATATATATATATATATATATATATATATATATATATATATATATATATATATAAATATTAAATAAAAATATATCTATGGTAAATATTAAATATATATATATATATAGAGAGAGAGAGAGAGAGATATGGTAAATATTAAATTGATAGAATAATAATTCGCACTTCGCACTGCGTGAAGGAGAATAAAAAAAACTAATAAAAAAAATACAAATTTATTAATAAAAAAACTAACGGTTAAAAGAATTATACTGGCAAAAGAGCCAATAGAAAGGGTTCCTAATGAGTATAAAATAGAAAAAATTCACTCACATACCTCCTAAAGAGAGAGAACAAAATGTCCCTTCTGTTTGCACAAAGCCAGTTGATGGAATTTAATAAAAACTTGATTGATGTTATATTCAGCACTCCGGCTTGTAAAGTTTTTGTAATAGTTTGGTCCATTCGTCAGAAGGTTTCAGCAATATATATATATATATATATATATATATATATATATATATATATATATATATATTGCTAAAAACCTTCTAAGGAATGGGCCAAACTTATAAAAACTTTATATATATATATATATATATATATATATATATATAGGCACGTTTCATTGAAAACGACAAACAAGGTACTACGGTTAAGCTTTTTATTTAATTTTTCTTGTGTTCTAACAAGAGCTTTCTTTTCTGGTCAAAGGGTGTGTAAGAACTGTCCAAATGTTTTATATTTCCGAGCGCTTTCGGCTATACTTTTAGCCATTATCAATGATGATTCGATTTTCAGCTTAATTGAGTGTGTGCGTTCTGTGTATGTCTTAGTGTGTGGTAGGGATGTTTTTAATTTCCGAATACGGTTAGCACACTGTGGCCTTGTTCGTAGTTAATATTGTTAAGAGTTGGCCTTTTCTTTTTTATTATTAAAGCTTCCATTATTTTTTAGTCTTTTTTGCAGGTGGATGCAGTTAATATATTTGTGTTTTCTACTAGTATGTTCCTAATGGAGTCTGGTAAATTTGTGTGTGTGTTTAAATGGGTTCTAATGGAGCTGTGATCAGATAGGTGTAACGTAAAGCGTCTGGATAAGCAAAATCCAAAAATCAACTCATATTGGGAATAGCCTATTTTGACAGATGAAGATATCCTGACCGCTATTAATAAGACAGACGACCCATATGAGGTGATTTTGGGATTTTATTGTTTATTAATTATTTGCTCTGTAATAATAAATACATTGAGCTCTTTTTGTGGATCAGTTTTAATATTTTATATTACTAGGATCAACTTGGATTGTATACCAATGGATTTCTTACCTTTACTATATAAACTCGGTGGGTGACAAAATCTGGATAGTAGAATTTTCAAATAAATTGGCATCCAAGGAAAAATT